TGGCTTCGAGTTTCTCAGTGCTGCACACACTGTGGAGCATAATAGCCTCCCGCGCACTGGTTCTACGGCAAAACTGCGTTTTTCTCTTCGTGCCGGCGGCCCACTTGTTCACGTCATCCATTACGATGCTAACTCAACAAGCGCACGTGGACGTCAGGTACAAGGTCATTTATTTCGTATCAGTCGGCGTGGTGCTCTACCTGACGGCCTTGACGGCTTTCATTGTGTCCGGAGGTACACCGAAGAATCTGCTTACCTGCCTCGGAAATCTGCGACGTGGCACAAGTGTGCCTTCTAACGCACCTGAGAGGCTGGTGTTCCATCCAGGGCCACTTTAAGGACAACGGGCATATATTTGATGAGAAATTTTATCCGGATGACAAGATGATAAAGCTTTATTACTATATTATTAAAACGTAAGCGTCTGCCTGCTTTTGGTGGAGTATCAGTAACAGCGCAAGCCTTCCTCTTTTGGATATGTTGCACAAAGCATCCTTATCCCGTTTTACAATTCTGTTTTGTTCATGGTACCGACAGATCTTGCCTTCGACCGAACTCAGTCTGGATGATTCGCTGCAAACGGAGAAAGTGTTGCGAACAAATGAATAAATAAAGTTCAACTTCATAAGGCTCCATTCAAGTTATATCTGAATCTAGAAGCTGCAGACGTACACAAAAAAGACAGTAATGTGATTGTGAAAGCTGGTGAAGAGAAATTCGAAAACAGAAGGTGTATAGAGATACCAGCGTTTTGACAAGTGAATTTGTGTTTTTTTGTGGACATACGTTAGTGATCTATAGCTTGAGATATTATCAAAATATGCGTAAAAACTGAATGGTTTAGTAACCAGAAAAGGCAGGGCAAGAACGAGACTTATGTGGTGCGCAACATTAACTAGAAATCATCATTTGTTCGATTCTTTAGTGATTATCTATAATGCATGACACTGCCGCTTAGTAAAATGTGCACAATACAGCACTCGGTGCTGTTTAAAATGACGTAGTTTTGTTCTCAAGCCAGCATTCATCTCGCTAAAGAGAATTCTGTATTATCGTTGGTAGTCGCACTGCTGCCATTGTCGCATTGTACGAGATTGAGCTTGGACAATGCATATCTGGATATGTCACTTTCCGTTTCCTATTGAACGTGCGTCGGGCAAGGACAAATAGCAGCAGGAGCATGGTGATTAGTATCAGTGCGCAAGAGACCATTTCACAGTGTTAGAAATGCAACATCTGAGGCTGCTATAAGGTGGCAGTCTTGCTGCACGTTTATTCCTTTACACTCTATATTTTCTTCGTCTTATATATGCACCCGCACGAATTAACTGTAACAACATGACTTTCTGATATTTTCTATTTCCCTCACTTTAGCCTTATACTTCACAATCAGGTATATTCGCTATCTTTGATTTTGACCTGCTTGAACGAACTAGAGAAGCAACGATGGCGAGTCCTCCAGAGAAAATTATTCCGGCTATAATACGATATAGGTTGTCGTAGGAGCCCATGCGGTCCCGAAAGAAACCTGCAAAGTCCAGAAATGCGACACATTAGAGGAAGTGCACGAATATTTAATGTTTTGTAAAGTGTATTAAAGCGAGTGCACAACGAGATTTATTAAAAAACGTGTGTATATGGCCTAATAAACACAGCAGTCATGCTTGCTTCATCACAACTTGCGAACGAAGTAGTCATTACCTGTCCTAAGTAGACAAATTCCTACTTGGGACAATGACCAGGGGGCCGTACCGTGAAAGTGAAATGACTAAAAGAAAAAAATTCGGCAGATCCGATGTACGTAGGAAATAAATGGTATGCGAAGCATGCGCGTGCAAGCTGTGTCTGTTGCAATTTTTTTATTGAACAAAACGTTACGAAGTTGCGCTAAAGATATTTACAAATGCACCCACAGACATACGTTTAACAGCCACATACTTTTTATATCACCAGTTGATTACAGCTGAGTAAAGATTCTAACAGCAACATGGGTATTAGCAACAGCAGAAGCGTTCAGCTGATATAAAGCGCTGCTGCTCACGAGGATCGTAGCCATGGACAATGCAACTTAAGTAAACTTAAGCGGATGACACCTAACCACAATTGATGTTAAGCCGACATAACGGCTGTGTCGTTGAAAAACCTATGCAATGTTTACGAAATTGAAAAGCCAGCACTCAACCACAATTGATGTTTATCCGAGAATAAGGTCTATTTGAAAGGTACTTCACTTAGCATGGCTCTGGAGTAGAATACTTGATAGGCACGCAGAATGCTAGGGTTCGGTTGTTGCTGGGACAATGATGTTTATTCTTAGCATTCATTTGGTCAACGCTGTCAATTTTCGCTTTTTTTTAACGATCAGACGCTAAAATTACCTATGTGTGTTCTTCCTGTTCCCAGATATACAAAAACTGCCAAACACATGTGCCGCTTATGTGCCACTGTTTCTTGGTAAGTTTTTGACGACATACGTGACGGTATTTATGTTATGACCAGCTAGTTTCTTTCGTCAAACCATTTTACCCACTCATACAACTTTTGGTTTATTTACCCCAAGTTAACAGAGTGATCATGAGACCAGCCAGAGGTAGGCGGCTACATTGCAAAGAAAAGATCATAGAGTCCATACATTTATGTCCTTTCTCTATCTTTATAAGGGGGGGGGGGGCAAAATAATACTGCACTGGTAACGGGAGCCTACCCGTTTTATCAAACTTGTTCATTTCACACACACACTTGAATACAACGCGACCATAGCTGACGGTGAAACGGCGATTTGTAGCACGCCAGTTGGAATTTAAGTCATCGCAAGTGCATTTTATTTACTCAAAAATAAGTAGGCGAAATTTTTTTAACAAACTGGCAGATCCCACTTAGAGATAGATAGATAGATAGATAGATAGATAGATAGATAGATAGATAGATAGATAGATAGATAGACAGATAGATAGATAGATAGATAGATAGACAGATAGATAGATAGATAGATAGATAGATAGATAGATAGATAGATAGATAGATAGATAGATAGATAGATAGATAGATAGATAGATAGATAGATAGATAGATAGATAGATAGATAGATAGATAGATAGATAGATAGATAGATAGATAGATAGATAGATAGATAGATGTTCAAAGCCACTGAAGTTCGCTAAGAAACGCTTCGCATTTAAAAATGGCCATGAACCGAGCCCGTATACGGCGTAGGCAGGATAACCAATGGTCATTAGGCGTAACTCACTGGATTCTTAGAAAAGGCAAAGGTTTGAAGCTGTGACCGAAAAATAGGTGGCAGATGAGATTAAGATGTTTGTAGATATAATGTGGCAGCAGGAAACACAGGGGCCGGTTGATTGGCTGCACATGGGGGGGGGGGAGTCTGGTGCTCTGCGGCGGGTGTATTCAGGCTGATAATGATAATGACTTGCAAAGCCACTAGTTATTAGATGCTGGAGGGAAAGTGTCTCAGCCTTGGGTGAAAATGATGACTCTATAGATCAGAGCATCTGACGGCTCTGAAGATTGGAATGACAAGTGCACCAGCATCACATCACCCGTAAGCTTAATACTTTCGGCATTAATTTCTTGCTGAGAAACAATAGCTTACTGCTTGAACTGTATGCATACATTACAAAATACTATGCTATTCGCATTGAACGTCTCTTTTTTTTCTCTCTCTCTTTTTTGGGAAAGGGGAAAATAATCGGGCACAGCTAACTTTCAGGAAGCCTACCCGTTTTATCAAAACTGTCCCCATCACGCACACGCACTTGAATTCAACGCATGCGTATCTGACGCAGAAACAAGGAAGTTGAAGTTTAAGTAACCGCAATTCACCACTTATGGCACAGGTGGCGCATAGCTGCTGTGCACTGCTGCGCCCACTGCAGGAACTACACATTTCCCATTGTTTCAGTCGCAAGCGTACAGATTTGGGTGCCCTCTCCCGCTCGCCAATAACACCATATGTGGCTTCTTTGTCACCCTCTTCACCACCTACAGGTTTTCCCGCTCAATTTGATCCAAGCGCCAGCGAAATTAATCTAGGTGCCAGTCAATTTAATCCAGCCGCCACTCAAATTGGTCAAGGTGCCATTCATTTCAATCCAAGTGCCACTGAAATTAATCCAACCGCCAGCCGATTTAATCCAGACGTCACCGAATTTAATCCTGATGACATTGTTACTTCAAAACGACCCAGAATTTTTGAGAATGCGTCGAGTGAATAGCTTTGGGGTGAATTTAAGAGGGAAAAACCATGAATGAGTCACTAGTGACACAATGTGACTCACGCGACTTCATCACGCCTATCACCCGCGTAAGCACTATTCACACCTTCGACGTGTATATCAAAGGAAACGCCGTCCACACAATAATAACTTGACACTTATTAACCAGGCCAATGATCTCATCACGAGTGACTCAGATGACGTACTCCCGCATATTACCCATGCACGGACTGTCTTAACCTTCCGCCATGCATACCAAATAAAACGTCTTTGAAAGGGCAGGAGCTTGATACCTAAAGCTCAGCCAAGCCACCAGATCACCAGTGACTCAGCGGACGTCATCACCCAAATCACCCGCGCACGTAATTTACTCGCCGGCCGACATGCATACCAAACGAAACGTCTTTGAAAGAGTAATAACTTGAACGCTGTCACTAGGCCTAGTGACGTCATCACTAGTGACTCACATGACGTCATCACGCCTAAGACTCACGCAAGCACTCTCTAATGTGACTTCATGCATATCAAACAAAACGACTTTGAGAGGGTAATAACTTGAACGCTGTCACTGAGGCATGGTGATTAGTACCAGTGCGCGAGAGACCATTTCAAGTGTTTAAAATGCAATGTCTGAGGCTGCCTATAAAGTGGCGGTCTTGGTGCACGTTTATTCCTTTACATTCTATATTTTCTTCGTCTTATATATGCACCGGCACGAACTAACTGTAACAACATGACTTTCTGATATTTCCTGTTTCCCTCACTTTAGCCTTTTACTTCACAATCAGGTATATTCGCTATCTTTGATTTTGACCTGCTTGAACGAACTAAAGAAGCAACGATGGCGAGTCCTCCAGAGAAAATTATTCCGGCTATCATACGATATAGGTTGTCATAGGAGCCCATGCGGTCCCGAAAGAAACCTGCAAAGTCCAGAAATGTGACACGTTAGAGGAAGTGCACGTTATAGTTAATGTTTTGTAAAGTGTATTAAAGCGAGTGCACAACGAGATTTATTGAAATAGGCGTGTATATGGCCTGATAAACAGAGCAGTCATGCTTGCTTCATCACAAATTGCGAACGAAGTAGTCGTTACCTGTCCTACGTAGACACATTCCTACTTGGGACAATGGCCAGGGGGCCGTACCGTGAAAGTGAAGTGACTAAAATAAAAAAATTCGGCAGTTCCGATGTACGTAGGAAATCAATGGTATGCGAAGCATTCGCGTGCAAGCTGTGTCTGTTGCAATTTTTTTATTGAACAAAACGTTACGAAGTTGCGCTAAAGATATTTACAAATGCACCCACAGACATACGTTTAACAGCCGCATACGTTTTATATCACCAGTTGATTACAGCTGAGTAAAGATTCTAACAGCAACATGGGTATTAGCAACAGCAGAAGCGTTCAGCTGATATAAAGCGCTGCTGCTCGCGAGGATCGTAGCCATGGAAATTGCAACATAAGTAAACTTAAGCGGATGACACCTAACCACAATTGATGTTAAGCCGACATAACGACTGTGTCGTAGAAAAACTTATGCAATGTTTACGAAATTGAAAAGCCAGCACTCAACCACAATTGGCGTTTATCGAACAATAAGGTCTATTTGAAAGGCACTTCACTTGGCATGGCTCTGGAGTAGAATACTTGATAGGCACGCAGAATGCTAGGGTTCGGTTGTTGCTGGGACAATGATGTTTATTCTTAGCATTCATTCGGTCAACGCTGTCAATGTTCGCTTTTTTTAACGATCAGACGTTAAAATTACCTATGTGTGTTCTTCCTGTTCCCAGATATACAAAAACTGCCAAACACATGTGCCGCGTATGTGCCACTGTTTCTTGGAAAGTTTTTGATGACATACGTGACGGTATTTATGTCATGACCAGCTAGTTCCTTTCGTCAAACCATTTTACCCACTCATACTACTTTTGGTTTATTTACCCCAAGTTAACAGAGTGATCATGAGACCAGCCAGAGGTAGGCGGCTACATTGCAAAGAAAACATCATAGAGTCCATACATTTATGTCCTTTCTCTCTCTTTATAAGGGGGGGAGGGGGCAAAAGAATACTGCACTGGTACCTTTCTGGAAGCCTACCCGTTTTATCAAACTTCTTCATTTCACACACACACTTGAATACAACGCGACCGTAGCTGACGGTGAAACGGCGATTCGTAGCACGCCAGTTGGAATTTAAGTCATCGCAAGTGCATTTCATTTACTCAAAAATAAGAAGGCGAAATTTTTTAAAAAAACTGGCAGATCCCACTTAGAGATAGATAGATAGATAGATAGATAGATAGATAGATAGATAGATAGATAGATAGATAGATAGATAGATAGATAGATAGATAGATAGATAGATAGATAGATAGATAGATAGATAGATAGATAGATAGATAGATAGATAGATAGATAGATAGATAGATAGATAGATAGATAGATAGATAGATAGATAGATAGATAGATAGATAGATAGATAGATAGATAGATAGATAGATAGATAGATAGATAGATAGATAGATAGATAGATAGATAGATAGATAGATAGATAGATAGATAGATAGATAGATAGATAGATGTTCAAAGCCACTGAAGTTCGCTAAGAAACGCTTCGCATTTAAAAATGGCCATGAACCGAGCACGTATGCTGCGTAGGCAGGATAACCAATGGTCATTAGGCGTAACTCACTGGATTCTTAGAAAAGGCAATGGTTTGAAGCTGCGACCAAAAACTAGGTGGCAGATGAGATTAAGATGTTTGTAGATGTAATGTGGCAGCAGAAAACACAGAGGCCGGTTGATTGGCTGCACAGGGGGGGGGGGGGGGGAGTCTGGTGCTCTGCGGCGGGTGTATTCAGGCTGATAATGATAATGACTTGCAAAGCCACTAGTTATTAGATGCTGGAGGGAAAGTGTCTCAGCTTTGGGTGAAAATGATGACTCTATAGATCAGAGCATCTGACGGCTCTGAAGATCGGAATGACAAGTGCACCAGCATCACATCACCCGTAAGCTTAATACTTTCGGCATTAATTTCTTGCTGAGAACCAATAGCTTACTGCTTGAACTGTATGCATACATTACAATGTACTATGCTATTCGCATTGAACGTCTCTTTTTTTCTCTCTCTCTTTTTCGGGAAAGGAGAAAATGAACGGGCACTGCTAACTTTCAGGAAGCCTACCCGTTTTATCAAAACTGTCCCCATCACGCACACGCACTTGAATTCAACGCATGCGTATCTGACGCAGAAACAAGGAAGTTGAAGTTTAAGTGACCGCAATTCACCACTTATGGCACAGGTGGCGCATAGCTGCTGTGCACTGCTGCGCCCACTGTAGGAGCTACACATTTCCCATTGTTTCAGTCACAAGCGTACAGATTTGGGTGCCCTCTCCCGCTCGCCAATAACACCATATGTGGCTTCTCTGTCACCCCCTTCACCACCTACAGGTTTTCCCGCTCAATTTGATCCAAGCGCCAGCGAAATTAATCTAGGTGCCAGTCAATTTAATCCAGCCGCCACTCAAATTGGTCAAGCTGCCATTCATTTCAATCCAAGTGCCACTGAAATTAATCCAACCGCCAGCCGATTTAATCCAGACGTCACCAAATTTAATCCTGATGACATTGTTCTTCAAAACGACCCAGAATTTTCGAGAATGCGTCGAGTGAATAGCTTTGGGGTGAATTTAAGAGGGAAAAACCATGAATGAGTCACTAGTGACACAATGTGACTCACGCGACTTCATCAAGCCTATCACCCGCGTAAGCACTATTCACACCTTCGACGTGTATATCAAAGGAAACGCCGTCCACACAATAATAACTTGACACTTATGAACCAGTCCAATGATCTCATCACGAGTGACTCAGATGACGTACTCCCTCATATTACCCATGCACGGACCGTCTTAATCTTCCGTCATGCATACCAAATAAAACATCTTTGAAAGGGCAGGAGCTTGATACCTAAAGCTCGGCCAAGCCACCAGATCACCAGTGACTCAGGGGACGTCATCACCCAAATCACCCCCGCACGTAATTTACTCGCCGGCCGACATGCATACCAAACGAAACGTCTTTGAAAGAGTAATAACTTGAACGCTGTCACTAGGCCTAGTGACGTCATCACTAGTGACTCACATGACGTCATCACGCCTATCATGCACGCACGCGGTGTCCTAGCCTGTCTTCATGCATATCAGACGAAACGGCTTTGAGAGAGTAATAACTTGAACGCTGTCACTAGGCCCAGTGATGTCACCACTAGTGACTCGCGTGACGTCATCTCGCCTAAGACTCACGCAAGCACTCTTTAATGTGACTTCATGCATATCAAACAAAACGACTTTGAGATGGTAATAACTTGAACGCTGTCACTAGGTCTAGTGACGTCATCACTAGTGACTCACGGGACGTCATCACGCCTGACACCCACGCAGGCACTCTGTAACCTGCCTTCATGCATATCAAACAAAACGTCTTTGAAAGGGTAATAACTTGAAAGCTGTCACTCGGCCTAGTGACGTGATCACTAGTGACTTGCGTGACGTCATCACGCCTGACACCCACGCAAGCACTCTGTAACCTGCCTTCATGCATATCAAACGAAACGCCTTTGAGAGAGTAATAACTCGAATGCTCTCACTAGGCCTAGCGACGTGATTACTAGTGCCTCATGTGACGTCATCACGCCTATCACATACGCATGCACTGTCCTAACCTGTCTTCATGCATATCAAACGAAACGTCTGTGAGAGTGCAATAACGTCATACTTATGACTCGGCCAATCGTCTTGATCACTATTGACTTACGTGATGTGATCACGACTAACACTCACGCAAGCACTCTCTAAAGTGCCTTCATGAATATCAAACGAAACGTCATTGAGAGAACATTAACTTGAAGGCCGTTGCAGGCAGCGTCTGCTAGTAAAAAAGTGACTGCTCGCGCTGCACAGCCGTTCACCGGCTAACCGGTATATGTAGGCACCAGATCGTGCGTTTCGAATTCAGTTGAAGGCGTTTTAACATGGCTTTCGTTTGACTTGACGCTTTTCTTGACTCGAGAAGATGCGATGGATGCAACCGTACCTTCAAGCAGCAGTGGTGTACAACCCAACATCAGCGTCCCACCACTCGTTGAGGGCGACGCAGTCTCCTTCATTAAATAAAGAGGAATAATAAAGGCGAAATGACAATTAAGCATTTTTGAAACCATTCTCAATTACGCGACATTCCACCGATACCCTGACCACTCCGCGACGCATTTACTCCAGCTCGTCGTGTGGGAAGATGTAGACGATTTTTTTGTTGCTTCTCGTGTTTCGAAGTATGCCTTGAAAGTGCGGGCAGCCAGGCCGCACTACTGTGAACGGACACGCGTCCTACATCAAACAGGCACGCTTATTCTAAACACACTAACCTATAAGAAACGGCGTGGCGTAGAATGTAGAAAGAAAGGCACGAGTCAGGCACTGCATTCAATGGCGCATCTGCAAATAGTCACTAGCAAATAGCAATAGTATGTATCTCAAGTATGGGGACTGCCCTCTATTACTACGGATTTGTTTCACAGGATAACCATATGAAATATTAGTTGAGTCGAAGGAGTGGTAGACAAATCTGTTTGTAGCAAGTTTTGGAGCAGGCAGATCGTGCGTCTTATGCTTGATTACGGATATGCAGTGTTATGACTAGAGGCCAGATTATATGCAAATGCCTGTTTCGTTTCTTGCGTTCCTATCGCGTCATTCTGACACATGAGCACAAATCAGAGGGCAAGGAGAGCTTTTATAGTTCTTTTATAGTGCCTATATATCCCTATTTCGGACGTTGCTGCCTCAATTCGTAAAAGTGCCTCTAAATGCCTGTTTTCAAATTGATGCCTATATAAACGCCATTTAACC